GAATTAGAAACAACACATTTTTGAAAAATGATTGATGCTGTAAAGACATAATAGATATTTATCTAACAGAGCATACTTACATGACTGCTTTGACACAAGGCAGATTTCTTTTCTGAAGTTTGAATCCTGTTATAGGTAACGTGATTTCCTTGGTGGAGACAGTTTTGCAGCATTCAACGGGCTTGTTTTGTCCATCTAATGAATAGAGTTTGATTAAATGATTTTCTGAAGGTCAAACAGCACAGATGATTTCTGAAGTAAAATATCATAGCTACTTACTCGTCCCTGTGATCATCACTGACACAACGACAGCAATGACAGCAAGACTCATCATCATCTTCTGGTTGAGCTGCATGTTGTGTTCTTCGCTGTGGCCCTGAATCTTCAGAATCTTCTGTCAATGCAGCGTAAGAAATGCTCACTGAAACCTCACTAACACCACCTCTTTTTATATCATCAAAAAGAGGAAATGACTGTCAGTTTTTACTCTGGATTTGCCGTTTTTCATGATTTTTTTTCTTTTTTTCTAAACACCTCCCATATTTGTGCTCACTCAGTGGTTTTAGTCCAGATATTTTATGAAGCAATCCTGTGCTTAAGGAATGAATGAAAGTAAAGACTCTCAATCAGTGATGCAATATTGGATTGCAGCTTTTGCTGTTTATTTTTAGGCAACTATATATTTGTTGTGTTTTCTCCCACATTTACGACCATTGATATTTGTTTTAACAACAAATAAATAAAAAGGTAGAATAAACATTTTTTTATTATTTCTTTAGACTCATGATGCTTCCTGTTGCCGCAGGGTAGCATCAGAGCAGAAAAGAGGAAGGATGTGAAGCTGCCAGAAGAATTACACATCAGTGTTCAGTAAGAGAGAACCACTCAAACCATGACTGTATCAGGTGGGATATTCATCCTTGCATTTTCCATTCTGACCTCCATGAGTCAAGAGTTATTGAAGGTGCAAATATTTATACAGTCACTGGCTTAGACATTTGGAAATAAATGTACCATATTAGACACCCATATACTGTATTAGACAGCTGCCATCCAATGAACTGTGCATAGCCCTGTGAAATTATCCCAATACAAAGTCAGAGATAAAATACAGTTTGCCTTAAATTTTAAACAGTATATCCATTGTTTTCTTTTTTTAAACTAAAAACCAACTAGACTTTAACATATATGCACTTGGTTTGATACATTGCTATCAAACTCAGTAAGAGTCACACATTTCCCCCCCACTCTTATATTAGTTATAATATGTTTCATATGTAGCATTTCTATAATTTTACATTTTACATGAGATTATGAATAAGAAGTAGTTTTCTTTTTTCATAATGAGTGCTTTACATTACATTTAAAACTTCTCTGTCCTCTGCATTTGCTGGTCACATCATTTGTTTGAAGATAAAAACCCACATCAGAGTTGCACGAGACTTCCAGTCACTCACGTCACACTTATACTAGTCGTCACATGACCCAAAATCATGTCATGCCTTCATCTGGGCTCATTGTGTAAAGACAGTTCCTTGAGATTTAGAATCATCTTCATGGCCACATTTCTTCTTTGCTCACTATAAGCAAACTTTTTTTTCCCGCAGTTTCTTACTCATGCAGTTATTTTTTAAAAATACTCTTTATTAATTAAGTTAGTTACACAGTTTATAAAATGAATAGTTCTGACTGAATTCTGATTGACCTGTTTATTGTACGTTTCCTTCTCTTATCATATTACCTCTGCCAGCATTTTATAAAAGCAATAAGCTACTGGAGTCTGTATGTTATATGCACTTTACCAGGCAGTAAAACATGCCATAGCATAGTAACATTGCTGTAATTAATGGCCTTTTTGTGGCTTATTGCTTAAATACACTGTAGCTATATGCTGTCTTTATCTGCATATAAGAGGTTAACGCATCTGAACATATTAATTTATCCTCAAGCTCAGGGGTGGACTTACCCATTAGGCAAAGGTAGGCGACCCCCTTGGGCCCTCAAAAGCCTAGGGCCCACTAAAATGCTTTTCATATAGGATATGCGCATTATGCGCTGACACGCGAACGGTTGCTGTTTACTGTGTTTATTACCACGACAACCGTCCAATGTGCTTTTTGTGTATACCCTGCTTGAAGGAGATGAAAATATTATGCATCTGAAGCTGTAATTAAATATTGAGAAACAGTGTGTATTATATGTTTATAATTGTTTTAAATGTCACTTACTCATTTATGAGAAGGAGCCAAGTAGAGGACACAGTTACTTTTTTGGTTGATATGTGTAAATGTACAATTACCTTTTCATTATTTTTTCAGTTTTATTTAAATTTGTAGTTAAAATATCTAAAAATAAATTTATTTTAAAGTTTAGTATTAGACAGCCTTTGCACACAGGCTTATGCTGGTAACTCATCAGTGGACTTCCCTCCTCAATATAGGCTATATTTTTTCACACTTTTCCCAATAGTATTCAGCTGCAGACCCGCAGCACCAGCAGTTTCAGAACCACAGCCACAGAACCGGAAGTGAGGGGCGGAGCTTACATTTTTTTTTATCAGAGTAGCGCCACCTTACGGTTTTTAAGAGGTAATTTGCTTTTAGTACACACGATACGTCATACTTTATGTATGTATGCATTTTATAATGACATATTAAGCATTTTAGAAACAGTAATCTTGTGTAATTTAGTTGTAGACCTATACAGTTATTCGTTTCATTGTATTATGCGAGTAATTTCCTGTTTGTGATATTAAAAATAATGATTGAAACTTCTGGGCATTTTATATGAAATATACTTTAATCACAAGATTCAAAATAAATGTTTACTCCAAAGTCAAGAACATGTGCATCATAAATTTTTCTATATGAAAACTAAAACATTTCAATAAAACACACACACAGCAGCATCAATTTAAAAGTAACAATCAAAATGTACACAATAATTAAAT